AAAAAAAAAATCCTAAATAATTACTGCCTCACATATAGTAATTTTTTTATCCTCCCCAACTATCATGACCAATTGAAAAATTTATCTCATCAATAACAGACAGTGTATTTTTTGTTTCGTGAATGAGAGTGGATTTGTCATGTTACAATCTGTGATTTGAGTTTTTTACCCTATTTTATTTTACCTCTTGGATTTTTGATTTCTGATTTTTATACTACTCATCTTTCTTGCATTTTGGATTTGTGAGACTTGACTTGAACTTTGTTGCCACCCTTGTTGTTTTGGATGTTTAACAGTCATAAATTAAAAATACTATGAAATTTTGTTCTGACTCAATATTTTTATAAGTCTTTTGTGGTGAACAGCCCCGTAGAAGCAAGCGAGCCAGAGTGGCTTGCATCTGGTGTATAGGAAAATAAGGGTCTTACTTTAACATGCGGCATGTGACATCAGCAGGTTTGCTTCGTGAAAATGGCATTACTCTCCCGTCCAGCCATTCTAGCAGTATGTGCAATGATGAGGGTTTCTTGTACAGTTTTTAACGTCTGACCGCACATAGTCGAAACTGGATCCTTTAGGGTTACATCTTAGTAGGAAAAGAGAAGAGAAAAAAGAGAATGAGCAATGAGAAAGTTCGTGTCTGCTATTTATAATTAATGTAATCACATGACAGGCTCCCAGAAAAATGGCGGGAAAACTTGACTTGGTCATGCGCTGGAAGATTATTTGTACGTGGGTGGATTGCAACGCTCACTTGTGTGTTTACTGATCAATTAGAAGCTGATATTTCCTGAAAATTTGTATGAAGGTGGGTAAACTCTTTGATTCTCTTTTTTATACAGATTTGTACAAGTGACGTTGCAGCAATAGACTTATTTAAGCTACAAGCTATTTCAGCATTTTCTCTAATCATGGCGGACAGAAGTTTCGATATCGGGCTGATACCTGAATTCAGTGGAGCTGCTACCGATCTACCAATTGTAGAATGGATTGAAGATGTGGAGAAGGTGCTGTGGCCCTATCAAACTGTCATAGTGAAGGGGCAAAGATACTGCCTCACTCGACTGTGTTTCGGTTTAAATGTGGCACCTCTCATTATGAAAGCCATAATTGACGCAGTATTATCGCAAGACAAAACTATTGCAAATGCCACATCAGCATATGTTGACGAGATTTATATCAACAAGAGTCTAATTCCTGTCGCATGTGTGAGAGAGCTCCTGTCCAAGTACGAACTAGTGTGCAAGAAACCAACGAGATTAGAAGACGGAGCTAAGGTGCCGGGCTTACAGGTCTGGAGTGACAACGGTACTCTCCGATGAAGGTGAGGTGGAGAAATCCCCAATATCCCTGTGAGGATAACTCGCCGTTGTGTATTCTCGTTATGTGGAAAACTCGTGGGCCACTTTCCCATTTGCAGCTGGCTACGAGTGGCCACTGCATTTGTGAAACAAGCAAGCGCTCTACCCACAGGATGGGATGACTAAGTTGAGAATGCCTCTATTAATTGCATGTTAACCGACATCATAGCCAGAATACGCAAGGCCGATCCAGTAGAAGGAGACTGGTGTGTGAGTGGCCACGAAATGAACGTATGGGTGGATGCAAGTTCCGTAGCCACAGGTGTTGTATTAGAGGTAGATGGAAACGTTATTAGGATGCATCATGGTTACACCCAGTTGGAGATGCTAAGCACATCAATTTGGCCAAGCTAGACGCAACAATAAAGGGTGTCAATTTGGCTCTTCAATGGCAAGGGTCAACAATACATCTTTTTACTGATTCAGCATGTGTTCATCAGTGGATTTCGAACACCTTAACTGGCAAGGCTCGAATAAGTACGAAGGCATCTGGGGAAATGTTAGTGCAGAGACAGCTGAACACACTTCGCGAGCTTGTAGCTGAATATGGCTTGACGGTGGACATAATACTGGTCAAATCCAACATGAATCTGGCAGACTGGCTGACCAGGGTGCCAAAAAAGTGGTTAAACCTACACAAGGAGGGAATGGAGCCAGTGCAGTCAGTATGCGCCACTGCAACAACCAAGGTGGACGCACGCCAAGTGGCTAATGTCCACCGAAAAACCGGACACCCGGGCATGAAAAGTATCGTCAGAAGTGGTAAAAGCCATTGTCAAGGAATGTGAGGCATGCCAAACCATTGACCCGGCTCCGGTGCATTGGCGAAAAGGAAAACTGAACGTGAGTGACATCCGGAATAGATTAGTGATGGACATCGCTCACCATGGTGGTAAGCACTTTCTGACAATTATTGATTGTGGGCCTTCTCGGTTCGCGATATGGCGTCCACTACGTCAACAAGATTCTACTAGCATAGATCGGAAGTTAGAGGCAATTTTTTTATGAACGGGGTCCACCACTCAAGATATTGACAGACAATGACACAGCATTCACTTGCAAACATTTCAAGAATTTTTTGAGTAATTGGGGTGTACTGTTGCAGTTCCGGTGTGCCTATGCACCTGCCGGGAATGGTATAGTAGAAAGAAGTCACCGAAGCATCAAAACCATTGCAGCTAGAAAGCAGTGCTCTATACCGGAGGCGGTTTACTGGTATAACGTTACGCCTAAAGATAATCATTCGCCTAGCACTGCACCAGCTGATGCACTTTATAGGTACCATACCCGTGTATGAGGCATCGAGGCTATGTCCCCCATCGAATCGCAGAATATTCAAGGAGCATATGAAGTGGGAGACATCGTTTGGGTGAAAACTCCACATGGGAGGTGCACAACTAAATTTAGAATAGATCACGTGACTCAGGTTAATAGCCCACAGTCAGTGCATGTTGATGGAGTTCCGCGTCGTGTGAAGGACTTGCATCCCTTTATGGGAACGGTCCCGACAGATATACAGGACAGCGATTCTGAAGAGAGTGAGCGGTTAGTAAATTTGAGATCAACCCCGTTAGGAGACACTGATCACTCGCTTGATACTGAATCTGTTATAGACGATACAAATGGGGAAGATGACTCCCCAACTGTTAGCGTCCAAAATACTAATGTGGTACATCCTGCTAGCTCCCCTGATGACAGTTCATCTGAAGATGAAGCTTGTGTTGCTCCACTCCCTCGGCGAAGTACCCGGCAAAAACGACCTGCTCGCGACTGTATGTTTTGTGATCATGAGATCAGGGGGGAGTGTGGTGAACAGCCCCGTAGAAGAAAGCGAGCCAGAGTGGCTTGCATCTGGTGTATAGGAAAATAAGGGTCTTACCTTAACGTGCGGCATGTGACATCAGCAAGGTTGCTTCGTGAAAATGGCATTATTCTCCCGTCCAGCCATTCTAGCAGTATGTGCAATGATGAGGGTTTCTTGTACAGTTTGAAAATGCTTCCACCAATAGCAAGTCGTGTGCTGATTGGTCGAACTGGAGGAGGCAATTTGCCTGTGTAACCGAGAATAACAGCTTGGGAACCGCGGTGTTGGCCTGATAAAAGAGTGCTGGAGCCGTGAAAAAGGGGGACAGAAACATTGGCTATATGTAGTGATGTGTGAAGAAAGCGAGCATGGTGAATTGAACCAGCGATATTGTGATTTGTACAAGTGACGTTGCAGCAATAGACTTATTTAAGCTACATCTTTTTATTCTAAAGCTTCTCCAAATTTGTTAATTTACATTGGCAAACCATTTTCTTCCTGAATTTCTGGCAACTTTCTGTGAAACTCAGCATCAATGAGTAGTTAGATGAAAGCTGAGGTTCTCATTTTCAGCATGACATTTTTGTAAACTAAATTTAAAACTTTCAAAACTGTTCATTTTATACTTATATAATTAATTTTTCATTTATGAATGGCTGTAATTTGTGGAGAAAAAGACAATTTTTTTTCTCAGTTTTCAAATATTCCTATATTTGAAACATTTTATAATAAAGGTTTTTGAAGGTTACATTTAAAATAGATTTTCTTTAAAATCTTAATGCCTGTTTTCCTGCATACATTGAAAGAGTAAAATTTGTATGCATAGTGTGTTTGTGTGTGTGCCAAGGAGAAATACTGGCATGTCAGTTGTGACATGTTTATTCACTTGGCATTTGACAAAAATCTGATAAAGAAGTGTCTTTGGAAATGTATGGAAAAAGACCATTTTCATTTTCTGTCCTAGCAATTTCAGTTCACTTTAAATAACCCTTCCTCACAAAAAATATATCTTACATTTTGAGTTTTGTTTATTTTTCAATGGTTGGTGCTGGTTTGAAAAAAAAAACACTGATTATGAACATTTTTTTTCTGAACAAGTAGCTGTGTTCATTCTATGACACACACAGATTATTGCAGCTCTGAGTTGCAATAGTAACTTGATGCTTTCCCATCCATTGTTTCTTTGTGTCATGCCAATTCAGGGCATGGGTGATCACAGCTCTCCTCAACTTTGTATCCCTTGTAGCAGAAACCAAAAGAGTACTGAACTGTTATATAATTTCAGTCCTCCTATATGGTAGTGAATACTGGACAATCTTCTCACAGATGAAGAAGAGACTAGAGGCAACAGAAATGTGGTTCAACAGAATAATGCTGAGAATACCATGGATGGAAATTTTCTCAGATCTTTTTTTCTTTCTTGGCCAGGCTGAGAAGTTTTCAGCACCCCACTGTACTCTCAAAAATTAACTAAAACTTGATAAAATACTAAGAATATTTAATGTGTGTGTGCATATGATATTTATACTGCAATATCTGCTGGTCATTTTGGGGCAAGACACAAATACTTCTTTCTACAAAACTTGATTTCATGTTGCTTGACAGTAGCCGTATGATTTACCAGTGTAAATGCCTGAAAATAGATTGTGACTGATAATGACAGTTAACATTTTTTGCAATTCCTATTCAGTACTATATTTGTAAATAATTGTTTTGTTTGTTTTTTATCAGAATATTATACAACAAGTTTAACACTGAAAATACAACTGATTCTGATGACTCTCAAGAAAGGCCAAATAGTTGTATTAAAGTATTCCGCTATGTTATAAATAAAGTGGGACCCCAAGAATTTGATCTGCCTCAAAATGTTATTGATATTGTATACCATCAATCACTGTGTTGGTAAGTAACCAGTTTTTTAAAGGAATTTGATATTACATTTCTAAACCATCATTTCCATTTTTATTGGATACAATTTTTTTACCCAAATAAAATCTCAAATTGAACACTTTCACTCTGATAATCTAAGTTTATTTAAAATTTAATTTTTTGTATTTGCCATCAATATAATCTCTTCAAGTTCTCTTTGTTAAATTACAAATAGAAAGAACTTTTTTATTTAGTAAGATTAGGCTGACACAAGCTCACAGTAAGGCACTCAACAAGGATTGAGCTAGATAAATGAGTTTGAAACTTTCATTCCTGAATGTTACTTATTGTTGATGTCTCAAATTAATATCTTTGTGATCAGCTGACTGAATTTCTTTCTTACAGAAAATGAATATATTCTTTTCTTTTTTTCTAGGATAGGTGTCTTTTTTTGTCCCCTTATTTCACTGATCATCTCAATAAATTTCTTTTTTCTTTTCTTCATCAAAAAGGTAAATTAAAATTTTATTTTATATTTTTTTGTTTGCACTTTTTTACATTGATGCCTGTAGGTTTGGCTCAATTGTCAGAATAATATGCTTGTCTGAGAAGCCTGGTGTGGTAATTATTATTCTATATTGATGATATTAGAAGAAAAGCATCACCTTTTTTAATATGTCAAATACCTGTAAATACCTGTAAAATGAGTAATAAAAAATTCTCTTAAACGTTGTTCATTCAAACAAGATAATTTTTCAGATAATCACTAATTATTAAGGAGGGTTAAATATTTTCACCGTTTGTATCTTTATTTTTGTTTTGGTAAATGTATATACACACACAACCCTACATATATCCACTGTATATTTATGGATAAGATATTTTGGGTTTTTAATGGATTTTTATATCTAAATTTCTTATTTGATTTAGATAAGCTATGCTAAGCTTCTTTTTTTCTATAGCAGAGGCTTAAAAAGGGATTTTCTTCAGATTGGCAAGTTCATGAATAAATAACGACTTCTTTGTTTGTTATAGAGGAGGCAGGGTTCAATCTGCCACCCATTAGAAATGCATCTAATTTAAAACCTTTATTTTCTATATTTGTGTATAAAAGCTCAGTTTCACCAGCCACTGTCTAGTAGTCATGAATGGTGATGAAAAGATCTCATTCTACAAGAGAAATCACTGTCTATATATAAAGTATCTTTGGAGCTGAAATGACTAAATTTTGATAATGAAATTGTAGCTGTTATAAAGGAATTTAAACAAACCAAAACATCAATTTAATTTTGCAAGTGGATAAAACCAAAATTCTTGAAGTATTTTTTTTTTTTTTTGCAATGTCAAATTCCTTTATTTCTTCTCTGCAGTTTACTGTCTACCATAACTGCGTGCAATCAGTTCGACCATTCCGTGCTTCCAAGTCAAATTCTCTCTTCATGCTTGCAGTTTTAATCTCATTTATTCTGTGTGTCTTGCCTATTGCATTGGCCATTGGTTTGTAAGTACAATTCTGTCAATCCAAACTTTTTATTTCCTTCACTTGTCACCAATTTTTCTCTCACAAAAACTGGAATAAACTGAATCTTTTCTCAAGTCTCAAGAAAAACTTTTTTTTTTTAAAATGATTGATAAGGTAATCACAAAGTTAAACAGGAATCTATTTTCTAGAAAATCTTTTGTTGAAGAAAAATAGAAAATGGAGATGAAAAATATGCCAACAGTTTGTAGATTAACTCAATATTTTTCATCTCTTAAATAAATATGGAAAGTGGATTTTATGAGGACTGTCTAGAGACTATCCAGCCATTTTTAATTTCTCAAGAGCTGATTGCTTGGTTTTAATGTAACTCACCAACCAGACATAAATAGTGTAGTGTTTGTTACTCACTTGGCAATGATATTGATTGATCTTGTGTGTTGTGTGAATGTAACATTCACAGTAAATATTGTTTTATTTGAAACTTAAACTTCAAAAATTAAGGCTTTTAGGGAGGATTCAAAGTGTGATTCCTATTTTGGAAAACTTTCAGCAAACAGAACACATGAAAATGTCTAAGATGTTTTACTTGTAGTTAAAGAAATCAGTGATTAACAGTACAAACATTCAAAAATCTGGAGATTCCAGTATGGAAAGTAGGTAGTCATTTTTAATATTTCAGCTTCCTATTTTTTGTCTTGTGTAGAAATTTTTACCAAAACATTGTATCATTCAGGTCTTGAAAGCCCTACTTCTTCACTAAAATATAGATTTGACTCCCTGTAACTTCTGGCAGTTGAAAGTATAATGTCATATTATGAATAAGATTAAAAGGAATGTAATGAGGTAACTAATAGCAATCCCTAAAGAGAATTTTACAGAATATTTTGAAGTCAAAAAGGGAGTGATCTGAAGGGGACTAAATTCCCTTGCTTGAGACTTTTTTTTTTTTCATTAATATGAAATTGCAGGATCTTTTCCAGACAGACATTTTATTTCTGTCTGCTCCACTGGTTCTTCAATAGAGTGGAATTGATTTTAGATTTTATTATTTAGTAAATTGATTTATAACGATTTTTTGGCTCTGGAAACTAAGGACTGAATGAATTGCATAAAAATTAATTCTTTCTGATTTATTTTTTTTTTAATACAGATAAAAAGAAAGAAAGAAAATTATAGATGTCAACCAGAATGTCTATGAATATTTTTTGCAAATTTTGTCATATACACATTTTTAATATAGGAAAGAGAATATATATATTTAAATAAAATAATCAAGAGTTTATTTATTTGAATCTGATATTTTAATTTATTATTGTTGTTGTGTGGTATTTTATTTCCTGTAAAATACCTTCATCTTGCTTTAGAATCTTAACATTTCTGTAAGCAGAAATGACTTGTTTTTATTAAGACATCTGTTAAAATTTTATAACACACTTTTGGTATTAAATTTTTCAATGTGAAAATTTTTTCTTTCAGTTTTCATCCTTCCAGAGGTTGTGGTCCATTCCGGATATACAGTAACAAAGAATTCTACATCTTTAACACACTGTCAAATTTAATTCTCAGTTGGCCCTCTATAATCACTAAGATATTTTTTTGGATTGTAACACCTCCAGTTTTGGTTCCACTTATTGTTATCATCTGGTGAGTCATATTTTCAGTTGGTTTTTATATATTGACATTTTGAAAAATGTTCATGAAAGTATGTTTCAAAAAATAATATCTGATAATGCATTTCCCCTATATGACTTTATCAGATGAATAATGAAAAATGTGTTGTATGTGCATTGCATTTGTGTGTGTTTACTCCCACAACACATTTTTCATTATCCATCTGAAGAAGTCATATAGGTGAAATGCCTTATCAGATGTTATTTTTGAAACATACTTTCATGAATGTTTTTCCAATATGTCAATAACTTATAACTCTGTTGGAATTACATACCCAAATTTATTATATATATATATATATATTTTTTTTTAAACTCTAGTGTATATGTTGAAATAATTTTAAAGAAATTTTGCTTAATGTGTTTGAGGAAAGACCTTGCTAAACATGGAATTGATATTTTTTTATTTTTTTTTTCCAACAACAAATCGCTTTTTATTACAATATTTTTGGTTGATATATTTTGGAAATACTAATACATATTCCTTTATTACAGGAGTTTTTTACATCATAGAGCAATGACTATTCCCTGTTGATCATTGAAGCCACTGACAGATTGTGTTTTTTGTCCTTATACTGCTGCTGCTTTATTTCCCTCTTTGTATGCACATAGTGGAATGGAAAATATTGAGTGAAAAATGTTAATCCTAGAATTCTCCTGCAACACTCTTCTCTCTTCATCCATGTTTCTGATTCAATAATGTTTTATTCCCTTATGGTAATCTCATTTATAGCATCTTGTTGAGTAACTTGACCCACCCTAACAATCTCCCTTTCTCCTTTGTCAATTAGACAAATATAGATCAACAAATTGAATATCTGAACTAAAAAAAACTTTAATTCTGCTAAAAGCAATATAGCTTTTGCTTCTCTAGGTCAACAGCTTATTTAACAATTATTGGTTAAAGAGTCTGTCAAATTAGCAGTTGTTCTAAAAAATGACCTACCATCTGTTGTTAAATTGGGCAAGCAGTGGCTTGTTAATTTTAACACTTCCAAAATGAAACTACTCTCCTTTTTATCATCTGAAAGAAACCTTTTTGCCTTCTATCATCATGGCAAATGCTAACCTCCAAGAGAGAGATTCATTATGCCTACTTGGACTAATGTTTTCCACTAACATGGAATTGAAAGATTGTAATGAATCAATTGTTAAATCTGCAGCTCAGAAAGTTGGTTCACTGTGTTGTGCTAGATAATCTTTACTCACCATAATCTATCTTGCATATTTATATGTCTACCATTTATCCTTACTTTGACTATTGCTACCACAACTAGTCTGATGCTCCAGTTAAATATTTAGAGATTCTTGATAAAATTCAACGAAGAATCTGCAATGTTATTGGTCCTGACCTAGCATTTCAGCTTCAATCACTTTACCACCACCATAATGTCGCTTCCCTGCGCCTTTTTATAAATACTTTCATGGTAATTGTTCTGATAAACTTTACTCTAAGGTAGCTAGACTTTAAGAATTTAAGTGCAGTACTAGATTTAACAAGAAAGTTTAGCCATAAAGAATGACATGTCACATCCTTCAATGAATGATATAGTCTCTGCTGCTAACGTGGATTTGACAACTCTTTTGATTTTAGTGGATTTCCACGTCAGTGCATATATGGTCATTCTTTTCATCAATAAGAAAAACAATTTGTCATCCTTGACTACTCCCCATCCAGAAGATTAGCATAACTTGATCAGTATATGTTATAACCTTTAAATCTTTGATATTTTTAATTCTCTCAGTTTGGATGTCCCTAGGTGTGTTTTTTCACATGCCTCAAGATCTTATTTGCTTTATTATATGGCTAACTTTAGCATTTGTTATTGCTGAGCTCAGCTTGCAAACAACAAAACTTATGTTGGAGCATGTCATACCAGCAATCCAATTCAGTTGTCCAAGGTATCTCAGCTTTTTCTTCAAGTGGTAACTGCATCATCTTTTTGAATGTTGCCAATGTCTATCCATGATAAAAGGCTCAATTTTTTAATGTAATTTATCTGATTGATACAGATGGAAACATCTGGTCACTGATTAAGTTCAATGCCTATATACTTGGATATGGATGACTGTTCACCACTTATCTAATGGACTCCTCAATTTTTCTATCACACACAATTCAAATTTTTTAATTTCACCTCACACTTAATCATCAACAAACATACCAGAATACCCTCAAGATCATTTGTAGAATGCCACAAGAAAACACCTGGATCATATGTATTTATCCTTGCACCAAGTTTGATCATCTCTTTGAGTTGTAGAAACAAGACTCTCTTCTGCTAAGTCATAGATGATCTTTTTAAGTTTCAAAATTTTATTAGTTTTACATTCACATGGTGGATGGAGAGAAATGGTTTTCTGTGTAAGAAAGCAGTTTTATAATTGACAGAATGAAGGACCCATGAATTTGAGGCAATAAACAACAAAGCAATTTGTACACTTTCCTGCATGCATGTGGGACTGTCTTAAATACACTATTCTCCTCAAATTCTCAAACACATATGTTAGCTTTTGTTTGAAAATTTCCATCAATAATTTTTGATGTTATAACCCTTAGATATATGCAATATTTCCCATTATCTTTAACATCATAAACATCATTTTTTTTTTTTTTTTTGCAACTCTAATTTTTTTTGTCTAGTTAAGAATGTGTCTTGCAGTGCTTCAGTCTGGAATATTTTCTTTGTGTTTCTGTAATAGTGTCATCCAATTGAATTGATTTTGAATTTAAGTTGATATCCTCATTAAATTCTCTCCATTCCTCAAGATCTCTGTCAAAATCAATCACTTGTCTTTTCTGAGCTTCATTTTCAGTATGCCATTCATTTGCATTTTTATCTGAACATTTACCAGATTTAGAAATCAGTTTTGCTGTTACTCAGTCATTTTCTCCATTATAGTTTTGGTATCTGAAACGTATGCCAAATTTATTCTCAATATCTTCCTTATCTTGGGCTTATTCTCTATTATAATGGTCACTATCACTTTCTTCTTCAATCAACCTGTTCTTAAGCATATTGTGAATTTTTAGTGTCTGATGTTGGTTCAATGTGATCTAATTTAGTGGAATTTGTTTGGATTGGTCTTTCTAAAAATCATTGCATAATCTGATATAAATACCTCCATATTTGACAAGAACTTGTCTATTCTGCTGGTTCATTCCACATGTCACATGTCATCAGTTGTCTTTGATATTAACTTTTTTACAAAATTCGTTAAAAGGCTTATATTAGGAAGCAACCCAGGAACTTTTGGGGCAACCATAAACACTGATCCATACATGAAATATTTTCTCTATAATCTCTTCAGGTCTCTTTGATTGTATGACAGATTGATTGATTTGTTTCTTTAACATCATATCAACTCTATAGATCATTTAATGCCAAAATTTAATTTTGGGGGGAGCTTTGAAGTAATAAAAGTATGATATATATTACTCTGCTTTCACAATTGAATACATGGTAGATAATTCTCAGCTTTTGTGCATATACATGCTTGTGTTGGTGATGTGTATGTTTTATGTTGTAGTTTTGTTGAAGTTATATTTTGGAATACAGTTTGATTTTAAGAAATTGTAGGATATTATATGAATTAATATCATGAAAAAGTTCTTTCATGTTGGATGTTTGGTTGATTTTATTTAGCAACATATCAACTTCTATAGGTTATTCAATGCTGACATCTAAATATTTTGAACACAATTTTATGGTTTCAACTACAGATAAAATGTATTGTTGGTCATTTTGCTATAAAATGTATTGTTGGTAACTCTACTATAAAAATATATTTTTATAGTGTTTGTTTTTGTTTGGGGAGGGGGGGTCATTATTTATCCATAGTTGGGACCCTAACAAGGACTCTAGGAACAACAGCAATTAAGAGGTGGTTCCACACTCCTCAAAACCTCCAATCTCCTGCTGCCAGATGTATATAATGACAGAAGCTGACTATCTAGTATCATGATCTATGGGAAATAGCTGGACATAACTAAATTCTAAATCCATTGCTGTACGTTCACTAAAAGTACTTGTCATCAGCTAGCCAATGACTGGTCATGATAGAAGTTTGTGGTAATGTTTACAAACTTGACAGTCATGTGATATTTTCATGATTGCAGCTTGGAATTCCAAATCATATCTTCAAACGTTTTTTATTAATTGTAATAGTTTCTCAGAGAGGATAAGCAAACTTAGGATACAATTTCAGATACTTTTTTTGGCACTCAATGTTTTGTTACGAGAAATGTAAGGATTTCTCTCTCTCTCATCAATCATATATTGCAATTTACACAATAGAACAACATAATGGCTAGATTGTGTTACACATAAATTGATATTTTGCACAAATATTTGAGCTGTATCCTCCTTAAAGTTTAATTTCATCTCAGCTTTCCTCATAGTGTTTAGATAGCAATAATGGTATGTCAGTAATTACAATCACTGTACCAATTATAACTGGGATACAAATCATAAAAAAGAAACACATTTGCCATCTCCAAATTTAAAGACAATTTTACTTTGTTTGCATATTACCTTCATTTCTCCAAGGAATCATAGTAACACTTAACTATACTTTACCATACCACTAGCACCACAGTCCAAAATACCACAAATCATTGACTACAACCAATGACTTATGATACAATTCACTATATGGTAGTAGATACCACCTTCATATTCTTGTTAGAGTGTATTTTGTTCATTAAATTCTCCATCTGGACATTTGTTAACCCAATGGTTGATGCTGCCACATTCACTACATCTAAATGGGTTCTCAAATCGATCAAGGAGATTTCACCCCTTTACTGCTTTTGTTTAATGCTGCCACAGTATGATCTTTAATGCCTCCAACCATTGATAAGTCTATTATGGTACTGACCACATCTACTATTATAGTAGTTATAGCTATAAAAGATATCTAATTTTCCAAATTGAATTTTGTCACCTAATTTTATTTGCGAACATAAGTCATTTGATCTGTTAATGTTTTTTCAATTGCAATTTCATGTTATCATATGTAAGTACACTAATTGTAGCTCTTGCTAACTGTTCATGGTTGTGTGGAAGATTTATTGATTTCAACAAAAAACCCAAGGACTTCCTCAGACATTAACATGCTATATGACAACCATTTATTAATAATCTGTTGTTGAAATTCCTTTGGTCTATTATAGTTTTCAAATTTCTTTAGAGCCTCACACATCAATTAAGTTTTATCCCTTAAAATTTATCTAAGACTTCTATCATGCTATTCATTCCTTCCTCATTATGAATTTTAAATATTCCAAATTGTCAGGCATCATCATTGAGAATATGGGCTATTGCCAGTGTTATTTTTTTCTCTCTCTCTAAATTAGATTTTTCATTTGTTCTTCCATTTTTTCATAATAACCTTCTTTCTTGAAAATTGATGGAGACCAAAACATGATAGAAAAAAATTGTTCAAGTAGTATAGTTAAATACAGTTAAATGCAACTCAGCTGGTACATGTAAATCAAATTTCTTAGTAGTTCAAAGGTGGTGTAGAATAACTTGATTATGGTTATATTTGGTTAAACATAGAAACAACAGTAATACATTTCATTCAAAAGAACCATGTCAAAATATTCAAAACAAAAATAGTAGTCTATTTGACTTGTCAAAGAAACAAAAATATTCAGTTCAAAGAACATGGGTTTAAATTGCGCTGAATAATCCATTGTTTTATTGGGTTTTTTTCCCAATTATTTTATGTATAAGGTGTTAGTTTTGAACAGCTAAAGTCTGCTACCAATTGTTAATTAATCCTAGAATTCTCAAGCAACATCCTCCTATGTCCATATTTCTGACTCAATAATGTTTCCTGTCATTCCCTTGTGGTAATCTCATTTATAGTATCTTCATATCATGGGGAGTAACTTTAATAACCCTAACAAAACTATGCAAAGATTATTTTTCTATCATCTAATTAGTTTTCAAATTTTAATTTTAGTTTCCTGATCTATTATTATGTTATTGTGGCACGAGGTTATCAACGGATGGAGGACCTTCTCAGGGAACAACTTTCTCTGGTAAGAAAAGGTTTTTTCCATTAATCTTACCATTTTGATACTGCATTGGAAAAGAGGAAAAATAAAACATTTTTAAAAGTTTTGTATCAAAATAATATAAAAAACACTTGTGACCATTTTAAGTCAACTTTTATTATTTTTAACCAGTTTTATTCTTAATCATATTGTTGCTTTTTATCACTTCCTTCATCAAATATCTTTCAGTTTAAAGTAGCATGATGTCAAAATACAAAGATAGGTTAAAAAATAAACATACTTCATGAAGATTTGGAGGTGGTAATGATCAACCAATAATATATATCTAACAATGTCCAAAAATAATATCTTCAAATGCATTAATAAATTTGTTAAAAATATTTCTAAAATGTTCATTTGCTGTTTTGCTGACACTTACTTTTTCACTTTCTCCTAATAAGTGGGGACAGGGAGATTTACTAATAAGATTGAATGGTGAAAAAATTCAAAAATGGAGGTTATTTATTTGATCTCCTGCCATAAATTAAGAGGAAAAACATGTTTGACAAATGACAACTTTAAAAATCAACTTGTAATTTTTAATGCAACATTTTTTTCATTTTTTCACATTTAAAAATAAGAAAGGTAAAGCAACAAATAAAACATGTAGAATGGTATTTTCATTAAAAATGTTTTTATTTAAAAAATATATCCACAATAAGTATGATAAAATGTAATAAAGATGATATTCATAAAAAATATGTAATCTTTCTTGCATTTGGCTCACTAAACAAATTATAAAGAAGACTAATGTGTAATGACTATTTTTTCTTTTTCAGGATGGAAAAGATAAGCGTTTCCTGCTTGGTGAAGTAAACAAAATTATGAAGATTGTCTTTGCAAAAGAAAATTAAGAATTTCTTTTTCATCCCTTCTCAAAATTTTCTCCAGCTCAGAACTTTTTGCAGTTGTTTTATGACTGCTAAATTTGAGATAAAAGAATTAAATTGGAAATGAATTCTAAAGTATTTTTACATATACAGAAATAATCCCTTGTCTAAGGATAATTGGTGTTTTGAAAATCCTGTTATAGCTTTTGACTCCTTTCAAACACACTTAGTTAAATTTTATTTTACTTATAAAGCAAATGTAACTTAAATTAAGATTACTGAATTTTACATTCCTTACAGTATTCTAGACACTTCACCTCCTTGGTACATGGTATAATTTTATTTTGAATATTTTAACAATTCAGTAAATCTAAAAATAATCCAAAATGATAACCAAAGTTCATTGTGCTTTCAGAAATTAAAGTTTATGAAAATTTTTCCATATTTTTTAAATTTTTAATAGATTCTTGAGAAAGAGTTGTTATTCAGAAGATTTTTCCAGATATTGAAATAAATGGAATTTTTATAGAAAAGATCATGATGAATGAAACTTGGACTGTAAATTATTCTGTGATATTGCTCTCTTGTATTAAAGTGTTCTTTGATTCATCTTTAGACTAGTCCATCATGTCTGCAAATGAACATAATCTAAATTTACTTAAATATAAAATATGAAGTTATATTTGGACATAAATGGAATTATTTTTAACAGAAGCCTTATTTAAAAGGCAGAAATTATTAACCTGTTTTTACTCAACTTTATATATTTTAACAAGTCTGTTAATAATCCTTTTTTTATTATTTAAAGTGGAAGCAAAAATATTTTAATTCAATGAAGTTTGCTGACTCCATTACTTATAACAGAAAATCAAGCAAAATTCTTGGATTTTCATGTATTACACTTTCTCTTTTCCATTGCAAGCATTCATTTTGGAAAAAAAATTGGCAGTATAATTTTTTTTAAAGAAATATTATATATTCTTCCATATATTATTTGTTTTGTATTATTTCCACCAACATATTCTTTCTCATTCAAGACAATCTTAAAAAACAACAATGTTTTGAAACACTGAAAATTTATGTTGCTGATTTACAAAATCTTTTGGCATATAATAGAGAGGAAGAGAAGTGTGGTTGAGTGAAAAACATTTTGTTTAAATTTATTTTATTGAATTTTTCTGTGGTTCAGACCATTTTTCTGGTTTCTGAGGATTATTTGAAAATAAATTGTCCAATATCTGCTGAAATAATTTAAGCTTTCATAAGCCATTATCAAATAATTTTGTTTGTTAAGGTTGTCTCTGTGAAAGTGTATTCTTTGCAATTTTCAAGTGTTGCTTTATAACACATTGGTGGGTGTCATTGTAAGTTTTTCAAGTATCACATCTTCATGTACCAGTTTATGATGTGCCATTTTTTTGTCTTTATATTATATGTGAAAAATATTTAGTATGCTTCTTCCTAAAACAAATGAAATTTTATTGATGTTAGGTTTACTTTTTATGATTAAGAACTATAGCATTTGCAATAATTTTTTTCTAGTTTATATATATTTATTATTCCATTATTTGAAAAGAGAAGTTAGATTTCCACTGATTAATGACCTCTACTTGCCTTGGAATTTTTTTTACTTACGATATCAAAGTATATCATATATACATATTTTTGTTTATACTGAATCTTGCCATAATTTACCCTTTGTCATAATTGTAAATATTCAGTAATAAATAACTACCATTTACATAATTTTATATTTTCTTAGTTGTCTATCAGGAACCAAAGCTACACTTTTGGTTTGAGTGTTTCTGTTTTCAGAGAGAAGTAATAGAAATTCATATAATTGATGTTCAGTCATATTTGATCAAATGTATTGATTTATTTAAAATTCAAATTGTCATGTTAAATTTTATTTTCCATTATCAATTACATTATTATCTCTGAGGTTTTTATTGACTCATGAGTAGTTTTGTTTCCATGCAAATTTGAGATAAGATCAGCTTTTTTTCTTCTCCATTATTTAAGAGGCCATATTCAAAAAAAATTTTTTTTCACAATATCAATTTTACAAACAAATTTCTGATTAAATTTACAAAGGCAATGCATCAGTCTTTAATATAGAAACTCCTCACCCTCAAAATTTCTTCAAACTTTCATGTTTTTTATTTCCATTATTATTTTGTCTTTAAGAAATAGAATGCTTGATAGATATATAGTAGATGATGAAATGTATTGCTGGTAATTAAAAAAAATGTATTGCTGGTAATTTTACTACAAAAATATATTTTTATACTTTTTTAGTGTTGTATTGATTGTCTTTTTGCTATAAAAATGTATTGCTGGTCATTTTTCTATAAAAATCTATTATTGGTATTTTTTTTTTTTTTTTTTTTTTTATAAAAATGTATTGTTGGTAATTTTTTATAGAAATGTATTGCTAGTATTTTTACTATAAAAAAAATATTTTGATTTTTGTTTGGGGGATTCACTATTTACCCATAGCTGGGATAGTACAGGTGCTCCCACCCTGGGTCAGGGTGGACCTGGAAACAGCAACAATTAAGAGTTGTTTCTATGCTCATGAAAATCTTTGTTCTTCCAATCAGAGGCCTTTCTGCTGGATGTAGTTTATGATCATGCCTAGGACTAGAATTTTTTCAGATACTTATCTTTACAAATTAATATAAAATTTGGTAATTTCTTAAAACTTTGTATTTGAAGTTTTTGTCTATTTTGTCCTTGTTGCATAGGTGCTGGTATAATCTTCCTTAAATTCACATTTTACCTTTTTAAAATAAAAATTAAATCCAATAAAAAAGTTCATTGTCCCTTAATTTATGTTTTATTACTTCATTTAACACATTAAATATTTCAAAATCTTTTCAAGCTAGTATAAGTTTGTTCTATATTTTATTTTTATTTTTGCTATTAATAAATTTGTGCATTGTTTAATAAAATTGTTTAGCTATTTTTGTAGTTAAATATCCTAAAAAAGGTTGTATATCTTATGTAGGAGTGAAATGCATATTTTACATTGACGGTGCAATCTCCTAATTACCAAGGAACTTTAAAGTTAGGTAAAAACCAACCAGGTTCACATCGTTTATTTTTTTTTTTAATTGGTATCACCCCATGCAAGGCAGTAAAAACTAAGACACAATAGACAGTAAATAACGATTGGTATTGCATTTAAATTTTTGCAGATTAAAGTTGGCTGTAAAGTGTGGAGCCAGAAGGGAGTCTTGCAAGCGATGAGTACAAGAAAAGAAACTATTAGCATAGAATTTACAGTTACATCTAGCCAATTCAAATGTAAATTGATGAGATCTCAACATCAGTCTTGTACTGCACTTATATCCAAAAACTCTAGGTACCATAGTGAAGAGCTCATCGGAACAATTACCATGAAAGTATTTATAAAAAGACAGAGGCAACCTTATGTTGGTGGGAAAATTACGGAAACTGAGCTGCCAGATCAGGACCAATAATATGGTTGATCCTTCTTTGGATTTTTTCAAGGAACTGAAGGTAAATAGCAGGGAGACCAGCCATACTAAACATGGACAAATAGTAGACTTTATAGATATGTAAGATAGATTTTGGACAGAATAATTGTTTCACACATGGTGAACAAACTTTCTTAGCAATGACCTTAGCTATGAATTCAATATAGTCTTTCCACTTCATGTCAGCTGAGAAGGTGCAGTGAGTCACTTTCCTGGTGGTTAGCATCAGTCATGCTGATAGAAGGCAGGGAGGGGTTTCTCAGATGATTAATGGAGAGAAGTTTAGTTTTGGAGGCATTAAAATTAACATGCCATCTTTTGTCCCAGTTAACAATGGACTTGAGGTTATTTTAGACATTGGCTGCCATTTTGATGTTATTGGGAAGGTTATTAATGAAAATTAAAATCAGGATATGATCATGGATGGAGATCATAATACACCTGTATTAGTACAAAAGGATCTAGACGAACTGCCATTCAGGATAACCTTCATTTCACGATTTGATAGGAAAGACTGGATCAGTTCAAAAATATGTCTAGAAACACTGTATCTTTTCAGTTTGTGGAGAAGACACATTTGCCAAACACTGCCAAAGGCTTTTGAGATGTCCAATGCTACAGCCTCAGCTTAACTGTTTTTATCTAAAGCATGATAGAAGACTCTTTCTGCAATTATCATCAGTACATCGGTAGTTGACCTGAAGAAATGAAAGCTATATTGTCAGAAAAAAGGCCCTTCTATGAGAGTTGAACTAATTTGACAATGATTAGGTCCTCTAGGAGTTTCCCAAAAAGAGGCAGAAGGCTGATAGTTGGATAATTCACCAGAGTTCTTAGAAACTGTAACAACAATTCCACTTCAACTTAGAGAATCTTTCCAATTTGTGTTTTCACTTCTATGTTGTTAAACAACCATTTCCCCAAAACCTTTGTTATATAAAGTATTGAATAGAAGTACTGTAAAAATTTGTTACAGCTGTAGGAAGAAAATAATTAAGGGATACAACAATAAAACAAATTGAGTACAGGGAAAATGACTGTCAACAAAGGCAGGTGAGAAAAATGTAAATATTGAGATATAGTAAAGTGCCTGTTAAAGGGTAGCTGTTTGGTGCCTTGTTTACAGAGTAAGGGTGGAACTGGAAAATGGCTCTGAACAAGTGTACAATGGGTCCACAGAAGGAATGTTCAAATCACATTATTACAACCATAGACCATCATTTAAACAGGAAAAATGTAGGAATAGAGCATGACTTGCTAGCTATGTAAAGGAAGTAAAATAAAAAATGGAAAAGAATTGTATTGTAGAATGGGATGGGGTGAAGAAAATCCATGCATTTAGTTTAGGGAGTATAGTGTGCAATCTGTGCCAGGGGAAAAATGTTTGCAATAATACCCTGATCAGCATGAGTTACTCACCCTGGCAAACTATGCAAGCAAGGGTAGAAAAGCTTGTATTTATAAAGCATTTTTTTTCTT